AGGTCAGCTCGGTGTCCCGCTCTCAGTTGTTTCCGAGACTTCTTCCACAATCTCTGGAGTGTTTAACAAAGGAATCGGGCTGTCACCACGTTCACTTGCCGAGCTACTGCTATTGATCACTTCGCTTTCCATTGGCTTCAAAGAGACTGTATCAGCAGGAGCAACAAGTGAATGCTCTTCTGAATGTTTAGGTTTGTTCAGAGCTCGGCAATGAGGACAGTAGTAAGTAATGTACGGGAAGTCCTCTTTCCGGGAGAGTCCTGCGTGAAGAGAGAGAGAGAGACATTGTACAATTAAGTTATTAACGACATTGCACCTCGTGTGTAGACAAATATGTGGGGAATGCAGTGTATTAGAAGACGATGAAAAAAAGATAAAACCTAGCTCACCATTGTGCATATGGCAGTTTCCACAGATGAGTGCATATGACTGAGAAGGATCTTCACCCACAAGGAGAGCTGCAATGCGTGAGATCCAGCTACCATCATGAGCAGCATATCCCTGAGGATTATAATGCTCAAACACCATCTGTTGGTTTTGCTCTGTGCCGGTGATTATTTCACTTGTTCCAGAATGGTTAGATTCATTATCAGAATGATGGGTTGGAGCGGTCCCAGCACTGTTGCGTCTTGTAATTGGTTCTTTTCGACTCCTGAGCCCTCGTGAGTGTTTGACTTCCATGTCATTGCTCTTGCCTGTAGAGGGGTCAAGTTGGGATTCATCTGCTACATATACTTTCAAGCCTGAATCAGCACCCAACTTGGATGCCAGAACAGTTGCAGCAGCCGCCTTTGCAGCTGGGTCAGGGTCATACCTCTGATACAAAATACCTCATGTTAAAACACGGTCAAGTTGTATATGTGAAAATAACCCACAGTAATAAGCATCCATTAAAGACATATCAGCATTTTATTTCTCTTTCAAGTTTCTGAACATATTGCAAGTCTATGCTACCAGTATAAGAAGTGATTTCAGAACTTATAAGTGTAAGTCTCCGTGTCAGTTGTTCATATCATTTCCAACTCTCAACTGTAACACTTAAGTTTAGACTCCTACAATTAAACAACTTTTGCATAACACATAGAGCCACTAGTTTGACAGTTATAAATTAGTGCAGCTTGAAAACGAACGAGAAAGAGCCGTAGAAGGGTTGATCTTTAGTAAGAGAGAGGAAACTGAAATAGAAAAGAGGGACTCTCAAACAAGGATGATAAAGGCTGTACTATCCTCACAGAATTCCAATCCAAATTCCCGAGACCATGCTCTTTGCTAAGTTTGAATTTAAAAATATCTCCTAATGCAACAAAAAAGACTATAAAAACTGACCTAATCCCACGATATAGCTAGACTGATAACGTATTGCCATCATTAAGTGATCTATTGTATCAGATAGTTATGCGGTAACCGTGTTAGCCTACGATAAATAGGTAAAGTTACGAAGGAGCATGAAATAACAGCAGCACAAATCAAAACATGACAATGGAACATGTGGAGATAATCATGCATACCAGAAACCCAATAGAATCCAAAATGCAGTTGTGTGAACTAGCCTCACTCACACAAGAACATATCTTTACCTGAATAAGTTGTTGTGTGGTGTAATAATTGGTCCTTTCTTTTAACTCATTGATCTTTCCCAGCAATTCTGCTTGAAGCTTTTCCAAGGTCTTTTGATCTCTGCGGTCACCTAAACCAAACAAAATTTACACACAAAGACATGATTAAGAAGACACCAAGCCACAAGATTCGACATGAAAATGAGCATATACAAGAAAGAAAACACAAAGACTCACACATCCTCGAGAAGCTAACGATTGAAGAATAGGCAAGAGAAGCAATAGCAGGTAAAAGAAACATTGGCAAGATCCTGAAACTCCTTAGTTTCCAATCCAAATCCTCATTTCTTGTTGTCATAATCGCATAAACCACTGCAATTATCTGAAAGCATAGAAAGAGAAAACTAAAAACATCAACTTCATTAAAATCTTAATTTTTCCTACTAACATAAACAAAACAAAGGTTTGTTCAGAGCTAACCTCAAAGAGGACAGAGAAAGCGATGAGATTTCTAATGAGTTTCCTCCTTGTAATCGATCTTCGCTTCATTCTGGATCGAACAGTAGATTCTTCTTTAGAGATGACTTCAAGTCTCTTCTCGAAATCGTCTCCTCTAACCCTAAATATCACATTCCAAATACGCGACAATAAACCCTTACTCTTCTTCTTCTCTTCGCCGCCGCCGGAAACGGGAGAGGATAAAAAGGCGGAATCATTCTTCTTCTCGGTGCTCTCAACCACCGTTCCTTCATGCTCCTTCTTCTCTCCCACCGCCATTTCCTAACCTCCTCCGCTCAACTTTACACTACCACTTTGAAAAAATCAAACTACAGAAATCCGTCCTTAGTGAACTACGGGATTCTTCCCTTGCCGAATAATCCTGATCTGGAGTTCTGTGGAGAAGGAGAGTTAGAATATCGTGAAGAGGAGGCAAAACGGCGATGCTTGGCTTTCTGCAAAAGTTGTTTCTTCCCCTTGGAGGAAGCAATGTATGCCTAAACAATTAACTTTGTTAATAATCTCAAACTTTAAAGAGATAATTCATTAATTGATTTGGGGTTTATCAGTCTATGTATTTCTGTTGATTTGTAATTATAATCTCAAACTTTAAAGAGATAATTCATTAATTGATTTGGG